GCCGAGGAGCTCAGAGTCTCTTTATTTAGAAAGAGGAGAATAACTCCACCTCCCGGGGTCGTGCGTGTTTTGACTGAGATCCTGAGGAGAAGCAGTTTTAAACCTCCTCGTGGAGACCCCGCCGCCGGGTGCTGTGCAGGGTCGCAGGTCGCCGGGCACAGGCCTCCTGGGGGCCCCGGCGGCGGGGGGTTGGGAACCAGAGCCTAGAAGGTGTGGTGCCCGGCGAGGTGCTTGCACTTCACGAGAAGGGACGCCACCGGGTCGCTGATGCTTTTCGAAACGACCTGGGAGGGGAGAATGGGGCCATTGGAAGGCCTGGTGTAATGGTTCGCCGGGTGTTGGACACAGACCGCCGTGGGTACGTGATGACACACACAAAGCTCTTTTAAGTGGATGAAAGGACAGGTTTGGATGGAAGGAGCAAAAATAATTATGAGAGTGGTGTTTTTTTTTAGGTGTGAAGAGGCCTGAACCACAACCCAGGGCGGGGTGACTAGGTCAGGGCCTGGGGTGGGTGGGAGCCTTGGAGTTCCCGTTGGGGACTCGGTAGTGGAGCGAGCAGACGAGGGGAAGACTTAGACCTCCTGGCAGCATCGTGGTTGGAGCAGGCGCTCCTCGGTGCTGCGTGTGGGAAAGCCGTCACTCCCATTCTTAGGGCTGCTGTCTGCGTCGGGGTTCTCCGGGAAAAGAACAAATAGATGCATAGCACAGGGATCTGTAACCGGAGGATCCGTGGGCCCGCGCCGCCTGCCACTGCTTGAGCCATTTAAGCAGAGACGGATTGAATCATATATGAGCGTGTATTCCAATCCTGCCAGCGGTATGGGGAGAACACAGCAGGTCAGCCACAAAGACCTGCTCTGCATCCCCCATAAGCCGCTGCTTACATTGGGTCCACGGTGGAGTAGCCAGCTGGGCGGGTAAGCCGGCTGGAGGTGTGCAAAGGCCTGCAGGTGTGCAGCAGGCCAGGGAAGCAGGCTGGAGGTGTGCAAAGGCCTGCAGGTGTGCAGCAGGGCTGGGGACTTAGTGATAGGCGAGGGCTGGGGTCTGCAAAGGGCGGGCGATTCTGGTTTCAGCAGCAAAAATGTTCATCTTTCCACGATGGGGAGGGCGGGCTGCGTTGCCTGGTGAGCACCCAGGTCCCACGAGCGACTGCCAGCCCCGTTAGAACGTGACTTCTTTACTCAGAATAAAGCAGTCACAGTTAACAGAGCATGATTAACATTTCTTACAATTCCAGCTGGTTCCCCAGCATTCTGTTTCTGCCCCTATCAGAGCGACCTAAAGAGACTTATTTTAAGGAATTGGCTTAGGCCGTGGTCGGCAAACTGCGGCTCTTTGGCCCCTTGAGTGTGGCTCTTCCTAAGCCTTAGGAGTACCCTAATTAAGTTAATAACAATGTACCTACCTATATAGTTTTAAGTTTAAAAAATTTGGCTCTCAAAAGAAATTTCAATCGTTGTACTGTTGATATTTGGCTCTGTTGACTAATGACTTTGCCGACCACTGGTTAGGTGATTGGAGGGGTTGGCAAGTCCAAAATCGCAGGGCACAACCTTCGTTTTTGCTGCTAAGGTTGTTCAGATGAGTTGGAGGAGACCCCTGCCACACGGAGAGCAATCTCTCTTATTTATTTAGTCAACAGATTGCAAATGTGAGCTTCATCTACAAAAATGCCGTCACGGCAACACCTGGGTTTGTGTTTGGTTGTAGCCTAGCCAAGCGGACACAGAACACTAACCATCACGGCTGCTTAGGGGAGGAAGGCGGAGGGATGATTTGGGAAAGAATAAGTGTGGTTTTCACGTATGGCAGGAAGATGGATAGTCATGTTTTGTGGTTGCTTTGGTAATTGTCTCATCTCACCTTTGCCTAACCAGTTGTATGTGTGTTTTAATTTAAATAGATTTTTAGAGGAGAAGAAAGGCAAGAGGGAGAAACATCTATTTGTTGTTCCACTTATTGATGCATTCACTGGTTGATTCTTGTGTGTGCCCTGACCAGGGATAGAACCTGCACTGCAGCCTTGGCTTATCTGGATGATGCTCTGACTGAGCTACTCAGCCATGGCCTAACCAGTATTTGCCTGTCCCGCGGGGCTCAGGTCTGCCCTTCTGGTCCCTGGACTGCTCAAGTTGGGCCAGGCACACTCTGGATTTTGCAGATGATACGGATGCAGATGTCTGCTTAGCCCCTATGCATGCTAGTCCTGTTGCTGCTTTGGGCACAAAATGTTAAGACCCTTAAGGACCTCAACAGCGTCTTATTCCTCTTAGCACCCAATTTAGTTCCACTCAGGAAGCCTTAGTTAGTACTGAATCGAGTTCCTTGCCAGACTGTAAGTTTCTTGCCAATGGAAACCTTGTTTTCTTCATCTTTTCATCTTCTGCAGTGCTAACTTGGTTTCCTTTTTGTTGTGTTAAATTTGTTTAGCTAAAGGCATGACAAATTGGTGAGATAGCACCAATATAACCTTATTATTATTTTTTCATCCTTCAAGTTCCTCCTTGTGTTACTTGCCTTTCTTTTCCAGCTGCCCCTCCTGCTATGGGCATTCAAGGCCTGGCCAAACTGATCGCTGACGTGGCCCCCAGTGCCATTCGGGAGAATGACATCAAGAGCTACTTTGGCCGCAAGGTGGCCATCGATGCCTCCATGAGCATCTATCAGTTCCTGATTGCTGTTCGCCAGGGTGGGGACGTGCTGCAGAACGAGGAGGGTGAGACCACCAGCCACCTGATGGGCATGTTCTACCGCACCATCCGCATGATAGAGAATGGCATCAAGCCCGTGTATGTCTTTGACGGCAAGCCACCGCAGCTCAAGTCGGGTGAGCTGGCCAAACGCAGTGAGCGGCGGGCTGAGGCGGAGAAGCAGCTGCATCAGGCTCAGGCTGCTGGGGCCGAGGAGGAAGTGGAGAAGTTCACTAAGCGGCTGGTGAAGGTCACCAAGCAACACAATGATGAGTGCAAGCATCTCCTGAGCCTCATGGGCATCCCGTACCTCGATGCCCCCAGTGAGGCAGAGGCCAGCTGTGCAGCCCTGGTGAAGGCTGGCAAAGTCTACGCTGCGGCCACGGAGGACATGGACTGTCTGACCTTCGGCAGCCCTGTGCTCATGCGGCACCTGACGGCCAGCGAGGCCAAGAAGCTGCCCATCCAGGAGTTCCACCTGAGCCGGATTCTGCAGGAGCTGGGCCTGAACCAGGAGCAGTTTGTGGACCTGTGCATCCTGCTGGGCAGTGACTACTGTGAGAGCATTCGGGGCATCGGGCCCAAGCGGGCCGTGGACCTCATCCAGAAGCACAAGAGCATCGAGGAGATTGTGCGCCGACTTGACCCCAACAAGTACCCTGTGCCAGAAAATTGGCTCCACAAGGAGGCCCAGCAGCTGTTCCTGGCGCCGGAGGTGCTGGACCCGGAGTCTGTGGAACTGAAGTGGAGTGAGCCGAAGGAAGAGGAGCTCGTCAAGTTCCTGTGTGGCGAAAAGCAGTTCTCTGAGGAGCGAATCCGCAGCGGCGTCAAGCGGCTGAACAAGAGTCGCCAAGGCAGCACCCAGGGCCGCCTGGAAGATTTCTTCAAGGTCACCGGTTCGCTCTCTTCAGCTAAGCGCAAGGAGCCAGAACCCAAGGGATCCGCTAAGAAGAAGGCAAAGACTGGGGCGGCAGGGAAGTTTAAAAGGGGGAAATAAATGTGTTTCCCTTCGTTATACCTCCTTGACCCCGGAATACCTGCTTTGTACCCTCAAGAGCTAGTACTAGAGAAACCTGCGTGGGGCAGGGAGGGGATTGCGTTGCTTCCCCAGGACTGCCCTTCTCGGTAGTGCTTTTCCCTTTTTACTTGATCTTGTGGCAGGAAGGCCACAGAGGTACTCTGTTTTCTTCTATTTTAGCTCAGGAAAATATGCCAGGCTCACACCACCCTTCAGTCAACTTAATGAACACTGAACCCACTGTTACATAAAAGTCATAGCAACAAGTGTTGGAGGGAGAGGAAGATACATGGTGGAGACAAAGGACTGAATGGAGATGATGTCCTCGCTGGCCAGCTGTTAGTGATGGTGGAGCCAGTCTGCACTTTTCTCTCTGGTTCAGCCTGGACCCACCCTGAAGGAGAGCCAGCGGGAAGACTCAGTCTAAACAGATAGGAAGAGCTACTGAGAAATGACAGGCGGCAAGCTGGAGTCCCTGGAGTTCGAAACGTGGGTTTCATTACTGGCTGTGTCTCTCGGCCGGGCAGAAACTTGAACTTGCTATGTAACTTGAATCTTTACTTAGTTATTCAGAGGCATAAGGTGGCTTAGTTCTCCTGGCCTCCCTGAGGCAGTCAGCTGAGTTGAAACTTTGGGATAAGATGCTATTGTCATGTGCTATTTTTGTTTTAAATGTATGAAAAAAAAGTCAATAAAAGTAGGCAGAATATAGTGTTTCTTTCATTCCTAACATAACATGCTGGAATTGTACCCTACTAACAGGTGGTTTGAGCGTGGCCACAAGGTGGCGCTGCGCCCCCATTGAATGGCTAAAGGATCTTGGGCGGTAGGTACTTCAGCCATTTGGAGGATGCCAGTTTATCTTGCTAGGAACAGTTACCCGTTTTCCACCTGCTGTGTGAGATAAAGGAACTCCTTTGAGAAACACTATTTAGTCAGGGATGGGGACCCTTTTTCTGCCAAGGGCCACTGGATATTTGTAACATCATTCACAGACCATACAAAATTACCAACTTAAAAATTAGCCTGCCCTAGCCAGTTTGGCTCAGTGGACCAAAAGGTTCCGGGTTCGATTTCGGTCAAGGGCATTTACCTTGGTTGCAGGCTCCTCCCCGACCTGGGCCCTGGTCAGGGCCTTGTGCAGGAGGCAACCAATCGATGTGTTTCTCTCACATCGTTTCTCTTTCCCTCTCTCTCTAAAAAAAAAAAAAAAAAAAAAATCAATGGAAAAATATTCTCTGAGGATTAACAACAACAAAAACAGCTTTGCTATATTTGGTCAAACACTTAATGAACTCACCCCTAGTGCCTTGGCAGGACCAGATCAAATGATTTTGTGGGCTTATACAACCCTGGGCTGGTGATCCCCACCCGATTAGATAAGCTGCTATGCTAGCATTGGAGCATTCACCATTTTGTAAATTGCAGAAGCTGCTTTAAACATCACTTCCTTGTTCCTTTTGTGACATCCGGTCCAGGTTGCTGTTTCTCGTGGAGAGGGGATGTTTTCGTACTTTGCAGGATTTGTAATCCTGGTAGAACTTGGTGGGGAGCTGTCCTGCCTGATTTCCTAATTTTGTAGCATTTATAAAAGTAGGCAGAATATAGTGTTCTTTTCACTCAGATAACATCTCTGTAGGTCGGGACAAACTTTTTTTTTGCATTTGAATTAGTTTTATTTTCTCAGAAAAACAACAGTAGGTCTGCTCTTGTCCTGCAGTGACCCTTTGAAGCCCCAAGGCATTTACCTAATCCCTAGCTCAGAGCGGCTTGTATATCCACGTTCCCTTTTTATCTCAGAACCTCCAGTGCCTATGGAGTCTCTTTGTAGCTGGGTTCCCATACACAGGTGCTAAGTTTGGTTATTTTCTCTTGCTAATCTCATGTCTATTTAATTAGACCAGTGAGAAGGCTGCCAATTTTTATTTAGCATATTCTAATATGCTGGCTCAAAGACTGCTGTTGTAGTAGGATGGAGGTTAGAAAAGCACTGCTTTGCAGTCCAGCTTTGAGGCAGTGTGCCTGCAGAGGAAGATTTAGGCAAAAAGCAGACACGGGGACCACCCGTGTACACAGACTAGAAATGAGTTCAAGGGTGAGGGCACTGCCTCATAGGAGGGATGCACGGAAAGCCTAGTGTCTCTAGCATTTGAACGTGGGCGCCCTGGGAAGGGGCTGGCTTTTCCTTGCCATAGTCCACCCGTGCTGTTCCCTGGGTTTCCTGACGTTCGTTCTGCCCAAGGGGCCTATGCAAAGGGATTCATGTTTGAAACATGTTCAGAAAGAACTTAGACCCATAGACGTACAGTGACTTCAAGAACAGGCACAGGGAGTCCTTTGTACATGCGCAGAGGAGCGCTGTGGGTTGCAAGCGAGGAGCCTTCATTTGGTCAAAATCTGCTTTATTTTTCAGCTTTCCTCCGTCAGGATGTGGTAACAAAGTTGGCAGGTACAGAAGGATAGCGATGCTGGGCCTGGTTACAGAAAATGCCTCTGGCCAAGTGGGGGGGAAGATGAAAGTGACTAACGCAAACATTGGGAGTTTTTCAAAAGTGAGTTCAAATGTTAGTTCTGCCACAATCTGTGACGGGAGGCGACTTGTTCTATCTCAGCCTGTCTCCTCAGCTGTCATGGGATTTGAGATCACTCATGTTCCCACCGTGACCATCGGAGCCCTTTGTCACCGGTGTGTCCGTTAGTGGCCATGAGACCACACTGGCCCAGGCTCAGGAGAAGGCCACACGTTTGAGGTGCTTTGAGGACCTGGGCTTGGCTCAGGTAGCTTCGCTGGGTTTGCTCAGCCTGGGCCCAAAGCCGGAGAGCTTGGCAGCTGGTGACACCACACCCACCTCAGGTAGCGGGGAATTGGGGGGCGGGGGGTCAGCACCCATTTTGGAGTGAGGAAGCCAATGCTTCAATTGTGCGTCTAATTTAAACCAGGTTCTGCCCAAATGAAAAAGATCCGAACTCCTGTTACCTGTTCCCCCCATTTCTGCTGGGTTTGCTCAGCCTGGGCCCAAAGCCAGAGAGCTTGGCAGCTGGTGACACCACACCCACCTCGGGTAGCGGGGAATTGGGGGGCGGGGGGGTCAGCACCCATTTTGGAGTGAGGAAGCCAATGCTACAATTGTGCGTCTAATTTAAACCAGGTTCTGCCCAAATGAAAAAGATCCGAACTCCTCTGTTACCTGTTCCCCCCATTTCTCTGTTTTTTACATTTTTTTGTTTTGACAAACCTCTAATCACAACATCCTTTCCACAGGTGGTGCCTCTAGTCCCCTCCCAACGTCTCCCAAAACGAACAGCCAACTCTCCCGGGGCCCCGAAGGCTCAATCCGCCCGGGGTGGGTGCTGAATGGCACGGGTGCAGGGAGCAGAGAGGGTGTGAACGCTGATGACAAGTCCTGCAGTTAAGGCCCGGCTCCTGGGGCACACTGCTGCTTGCTCTCTAGAGATGGGTTAAACTTTCTCTTTTAAAAAGCAGATTTAAAAAATTGGCATCTCTGTATTAAACTAATGAGAGACCATCCTAAATTCCTACCTGGTCTCCAGCAGAGAGAGACCCTTGAACAGAGCTGACAGTGAGATGCCTAACGACAGCAACAGACGATCCCATGACCACGAACTTCTGTGTGTTTACTCCGTTTCTGGTTTAGAGCTAGGAAGCGATTACACTGAGCCCCACTGCTCCTGCTCAGAGTGATGCTGTAGATGACCCACATGAAGGGCATTCTTCCAGCCCCATCTTCTCTACCATCAGCCCTGGGTCCCCTCCTGCCTGCTGGGTCGGTGTCTCCCCGCTTGGCCCCTTGTGCTCACGGACGCTGTTGTATTAAACTTGGCGTTACAGAGAGGGAAGCAAAGAACCCAATAGGCCCCCGTTTGTCTCTGAGGAGGAGAAAATCAAGGTGCCCCGTCTGCTCACTTGCTGATGGAGCAGGAAGTGGACGCCCTGTCCTGGGAATTGTCACTCCTTAGGTGCTGGTCAGAGGGGAAAAGCCGAAGGGAGTCTTAATGGCCAGTAACTCTGCTGACATTTTGGCAGGACCCAGGACCTAATGCTCCCTTGGGACTCTGGGTGGAACGTGGGACCAACCGTCTGCTTACTTGCTGATGGAGCAGGAAGTGGACGCCCTGTCCTGGGAATGTGTCACTCCTTAGGTGCTGGTCAGAGGAGGGGAAAAGCCGAAGGGAGTCTTAATGGCCAGTAACTCGGCTGACATTTTGGCAGGACCCAGGACCTAATGCTCCCTTGGGACTCTGGGTGGAACGTGGGACCAACATCAGCAGGATCCTTCGGGGCCAGATGTCTTCCGTACCGCAGCCGGCCTTTGCCCTGCGTGCTTCTGCAAGTGGAGAAATTGCTTCTCCAGGAACCTGAGGCTCTTGGAGGTCACAGACTTGGTGGCGCTAGAGTGGGCTGAGCCCCCAGGCACTGCGTGAGGCTGGCCTCCGAGTTCTAAGCACTGATGCTTCCTAAGTCTGGCTCCAAAGGTTCAGCTGCTCCACCTCCCTCCACCCTGCGGACCTCAGGTTTGCAAAGGAGGGTGGAGTGGACCAGGAAGATGAGCTCACCCCTTTCTGGGTGGAATTTTACTGCTAAACTTCCTGATTCCTGGGCTCAGTTGGTCCTCCCTATTCTTCTCACACCTTCCCGACTCCCTCTTGCTCACCAACCACCTACATCTGACACTAGAAAAAAGAAACAAACTCACATCCCTGCCCTAACAGCTCCACCCTTCCTCCAGGGGCTGTCATGTTCCCCTCCCTCTTTGGGTCCTAAATCTGCCTAGAAGGTCAAGGGGAGGGGTTTGAGCCCGAGCCTTGATCTCCTCAAACCGCCCCCCTCTGGATGTTAGGATTGTAGTGGCCTGTCCCTGGGGCTTCCTTCTGCGTTGGCTCCGGAGGCTCCTCTTCCGGGAGGGGGGCTGCTGTTATTGGTGAAGGTAGGCATCCAGCCAGAGCTGCCCCGACTCCTTCAGGGAGCTGCAGGGAGAAGAGGGGAGCAGGCGGTGAGGGGGGCAGGGCAGGGCCGAGCCCCAAAGCCAACCCACCCACCAGAGAGGTAGTGGGGACTCTCACAGAGGTCTGGAAGCCCGTGTCCATGGCTTGAGGCCCCCTCCCTCCAGGTGAACTCTCTTCCCCTCTGTCTGAGAAAGAGCTTGGGCCGCACATGGGAGCAGAGGACTGACTTGGCCACGCGGAGCGCCCTGCTTTGGCCTCGGTGGGCTCCATTCCACGGGGGAAACCTTCCTATCGCTCCGGCCCCCCAGCCCTGCCCGCTTCCCTCCCCACCAGCCACCTCCCCTGGCTCGGATGCTCACCGAACAATGTCCGCGAAGGCCGCGAGCAGGGGCTTGGACTGGTACTCGATGCCGTGCTTGGCACACAGGGAGCGCACCAGGGGAGCCACTTTGTGGTAATTGTGTCGCGGCATCGTGGGGAAAAGGCTTCGGGAAGAACGGGCAGTCAGGGCTTCTGCTCCTCGGCCCCCCACCCCCCGCACCCGTGGACCCTGCCCAAGGCCCTGCTTCCGGTGTCTACTTACTGGTGTTCAATCTGGAAGTTGAGGTGCCCACTGAACCAGTCATTGAAGGCCGACTTGTGCACGTTGCACGTTGCCTGGAGCTGGAGGGGGAGGGGAGGGGAGGGGAGGGCACGGCTCTGAGGACCAGATGCAAAGGCCAGTCCAGCTCTTTCAGTCCACGCTGTCTGAGCGGCGGGGCTGTGGAACTGTCCCCGGTCACCCCCCTCCACATGGTGGCAGGAGAAGCGTCCAGCTAATGAGGCGATGCTGCCGGAACTTGTGTTGTTACTGCTCCCCGGTCCCCTCCCCGCGTCTCTGCCCACCCCCACTTTTTCTTAGCTGTGTCAGCCTCGTTCTTCCAGGTCACTGTCCCTTACCTGGGTGGAGACCCAGTCCCTGTTCTGGTCGTGGTCAATGTGCATGGGGATATGGTTCATCTGTGTCACCCACACAAACCAGTTGCTTTCCAGGAACCTGGTGGGTATAAGACAGACAGGACAAGCGGAGCTCAGAGTCCCTCTCCCGCAGGGACCTGCTCCAGCCCGGCCACCTTCCCGGGCCAATGCCCCACACAGCCCCCACCAGACTGGTTCCCCCAACATCTCCTCTTCTCCGCCAACCCCTGCCCCCGCCTGACACTACCTGACCACGAAGAAAAGGCCCAGGAGGCCCTTCACCCCCAGCAACGGCAGGTAAGTGAGGGCGATGCGGACGTAGAAGGTGATCATCCAGGCCAGGTCCTGCGGAGAGGCAGAGCGTGAGGACGGGCACAGCACTCCCTCCTCCCCTCTCACTCACCTGGTGTGGCCCCGCCCTGGTACCCCGACTGGAACACTCAGTAACTGTCGGGTCCCTCCCCAGAGCCCAGTCCTGCAGGGTCTAGCGCCACGGCTCCTCCCTCCCGTTCCTAGTGGCACCCCAGTCCGCCCTGCCTGTTCCTTCATGGACGCCATGGCTACAGGGTCTCCTTGCCGCCCGCTCCTCCCAACCCAGCCACGTCCTTCATCGAGCTGCTAGCGAGTCCCCCAGCATCGCGGCTCAGGTCATGCGGTGCCCGGTCCAATCTCCAATCGCTCTTCTGTACCAGACTCCTCCCCCGACACTTGAGTCCCCGACAGAATGTCAGCTGCTCGGCTCAGAGGCCATCCTCCCCCGCATCTATCTGTCCTCCAGAGGCAGCTGCACACGTGAGGTGACAGAGCCTTTCCTGACGCCTCTTATCGAGCCGAGTGTCGTCGGGTCCCTTTTGGAATCTCAGGTCCCTCTGCCTGAACTTCATCCCCGTGTCAACCACACCCTCCACCTGCTCCGTCAGAAATGTCCTGGGAGCGGGCCCGCCTCTCACTCGCCCTCCCCACTCCCCAGCCTGCCCCTGGCCAAGCCCAGCCAAGGACCTCAGGGGAGACTGCTGAGTGGAACAGGGCGCTGCGGGGGAGTCCGAGTCACCCGCCGACAGGTGAGGGAGACCTACACCTGGTCTTGCTCTACTTCAGGCCTGGAGTCAACCTCCATGGGTTCCCCTGGAGGGCCCTTTCCCTCCCCCGGGGAGCTGGGGACAAAGGCCCAGGAGACTCACCACCCACTTCTTCCGCTGGATAACGAAGTAGAAGATGTACCACTGGAAGTAGAGAGGTAGCAAGGCTGGGGGCCCAACTGGGGAGGAAATGGAGACCGGGAGGAGGTGTGAGCAGCACGAGGGTCACAAAGGGCTGGCCGGTCCTGGAGGGATGGCCTCCAGCATCTCCGCCATCTCCTCCTGTCGCCCCTGCTGCCTTGGCACCCCGTCCCTGGGAACAGCAGGCACTGGAGGTGGGCATGAATGCAGGTCTGCAGAAGGCAGTCTCCCAAGAGGATGCCAGCAGGGGGCGGGGTGGGAGTGGCAACCTGCTCTGCCCCTGTGCCTTTCCAAGGGCCCGGCTAACACTCCCCCGTTGTCCTGGCGACAGCCCTGCCCCTGCCGGGCCTTCCTACTGACCCTGTGCCTGCCCCTGCCGTCAGCTGCCCCATGTTCCTGGCTGCTCCACCATGCAGGTGAGGGGGCAGGAGCGCGCGCGCGCGTGTGCGTGTGTGCGTGTGTGCGTGTGTGTGTGTGTGTGTGTGTGTGTATGGGGGGCCCTGCTGCTCCCCCGTGGGCTGAAAGCTCACTCCCACCCAACCCAAAGCCTAGCAGTCAGCTGTGGAGGGGGGGAGGTGCCTCCCTTAACACTGGGAGCTGAGGAGGGGGACAGTGTCCGGTGCGCTGCTCCTTCTCTGCACAACCCCCACATTGCCACGCCTACCATGGCTCCTCTCCCCTGAGGTGTCATGCCTTCCAACATCCTTTCTTCTGGACGTTCCTGCTCTACCCTCTGCCACCCCCCTTTCTCCAGTGGGGATGGCTGGTAGCAGGCAGCTGGGATAAATTCCTCCGAACTAAAACGGGATGGATGGGACCCTCCCTCCCTTCCTTTAAAACTCCGGTTGGAAGCATTATAGAGCAGAGTTTCAAAGCAGGGAGCATGTAGCGTCTTCAGAGAGAGCTTAAGACGACAGAAATGTTTCCTCCTCTTCCCAACAGCTCCTCCAGTCCCTCTCGGGTCCAAACCTCCACAGCTACATCCTCAAGTCTCGGGTGGGACCACGCCCCACTGAGTCACCTTGACCCAGGTCTCTGTTTGACAGGTTTCGAGGTGAGGTTTTAATCGGGATCCCCCCCCACCACCACCATTCAGTTCTCCGGTGGAAGCCAGTGTGGGACTGGAGGAACCTGACCAAACACGAGGCTCAGTGCGGAGGGCAGACTGCTCCCCCGCGGGGAGTGACCTGCTGGGGCGGTGCTTCCTCCAGCCTTTACCTGAAAGGCCAGGACCCGGGCGGACGCCTTCCCTCCTCACATCCTTCACCCCGGCCCGCGCTCCCCCGCCTGCACGCCCCCGCCCGCATGCCCCCGGAGGGACACTCACTCAGGAAGAAGTATTTGTGCTGGTGGTTGTACGGCATGTACTTTTTCTTCTGTTTCCCAAGCTGCGAAGAAAAGCAAACACAAATCAACTCCCCCGGCCCAGTCACCCCTCTCCTCCCCCTGTGACCTTGGCTCGGCTCAGGCCGACTCCAGGGCTGTTGCTGCTGCTGGAGGCGCCAGCAGGCCCAGGCTTACCTCCGGCGCCCGGCACGTGAAGCCAGGGGGGCCACCCCGAGGCGTGCAGCTCAGTGGCCCATGCCTACGCACAGCAGTGTCTCCAGGTCCTCAGGACCCGCATGTCCATCCAAAGACAGCTTCGCC